TATATATAATTCATATTTGTATTTTATTTTATTTCTATTTTATACTTCTATTACATATATATTTCTATTACATATATAATTAATATTTGTCTACAGATATAATACAAGTTTGTTTTTTCACAATACGTAATTCAACACTCTGACAGAGATTATATTTCGATTTTTACCTTTTCAATATATACAATTTTGTACATATTAAAAAGGTAATTATTTTCTATATACATTACATTAAAAGGTATATATTTTGCATATACAATTTTTACTTTTTACTTAAAATCAGAGGAAAAAAAAGCAACAGGAAACATCTCACCACCCCATTCCATGCTGTAATTACAATGCATATACCTCTATGACTTCACAGATAAAATACTTCACAAATGCTGCCTGCACTCAGCCTGCTGCTGATCAAATAAGGACAAGAAAAGCAGATATGAGCCACAGGCACTGAAGGACACAAAGCATTTTATACATTTTGTACCGTGGCTGTTTCTGACTCATAAATTCATGGCTGACTTTTTCAGCAAAGTAAAAATGGCTTTAGTGCAGTGTGATATCCTGTGGAATAACATCAGGGAGATCAGCCAGAGGGAGGAGGATTTGGGAGAAAAATTTGAATTAACATGTATTTTTTCTGTAAGTAAGTAACACAAATGAGTGTGAGACAAAGTGATGGATAATTCCTGCTTGGATAAACAAATGCAGAATAAAATGCTTGGTTAGAACATCCCCCTCCAGCCAGGACACTCTGACTCCCCACAGCACAGTGCTGCTCCACACAGGAAATGTGCTTTCTCCAGATTTCCCCTTGCTTCCAGGACAAACACTCCACATTCCAGAAAAGTCTGACATTTCCCAATCAATCACTTTGTGGCAGATTGTTTTCTGCACATTTGAATAAGGAATGTGATTATAAAAGGATTTTTAAAAATGGAAGCCTTCAATTTTCAAGCCACTTTTATAAGGAATTGAATTGTTATGTGCAGGTTCAGGAGGAAATAGAATTTTCTGGAGCAGTGTTACGAGAAGAGGTGCCAGGAGTAGTAACTTACACACTGCTAAAGGGAATTCACAAAAACCCCAAATCCATGAAATAACAGACATCTCACAAGCATACACACTGCAGAATGGATAATGATGAGATTTAATGAGACTGAAGATTTTAAGGAACATTTTTAGTGGATGATTTACTTTTCTTATTAATAATTAACTGCTCTAAGTATTCTGATAAAGTCTTACACGTCTACTCACCTGATTCATTTTGAATTCCTGTTGTGTTCTGAAAAGATACACACAACAAAAACTCCTTTGATTACATGAACCCTAAAAAGAAAAACAGACAATTGTGATATGTACCCATGTACAAATTCACATTGAACTGAAAGCACACAGAGCTGTGGTTTCTCTTCCTAAATTATCTGTAGAAAAAGAGCATTTTGTTTTAGAAAAAATCTGCTCCAAGCTGCAGTTTTGCTATTACAGCTCAAATGTGTCTGAATAATCTCAAGATTATCTAGCATTAATCTTTTTCCTACTTTAAATGATGATGTAACAGATATGCTCAGGTAAGATTGCTCCATTTGTTTTTTAAAGTAAGTGAGTTTGCTCAAGATTGAGTATTTCAATAACCTTAGAAGTCAGATCTCTTTACAATTTTATATCAAAGCATTATGGAAGGACTTACATGTTTTTCAAATTTAAAATTTGAATTTAAAAATGTAATGTAATTTAAAAATGTAATGTAGAGTCAATTTAAAAAATGCATGTAGAGTCTCTACTCTTCTATATTAGAAACAGGAAAATATTCCTTAAATTGAGCTGTATTGAGGAATTTTATTACATGAATGAACTTTGAATTCCTTTTTAGAGATTTCAAAAGGTATCTGACAAAAATCTCTAGTTCAAGTAGGCATCAAGTTTGGAAATTCACAATTTGAGGGAAAACGAACCAGAATGATGCCAAATCTAAGGGTTGAGATCAACTCACTTCCTTCCTTTGTTAATGTACACAAAACAGCTTTTTTGCAAATTAGGCCCAAAACACTTTCAGACCCATTGTCACACAGAATTTTCAATAAATTACCATCCCCCATTTTTGAAAGTTAAAACTTAAAGCACTTTATTCAAGCACTGCTATTTCTTCCTGTCTTTAGTTTTCCTACTATAACAGTGATCAACTGAATTTTTTACTAAGTACTCTGCATAAGCACTAACATTTAATTTAATATAAATTCAAGCAAAATCTACTCCAAATACATTTCATATAATCCCTCTATCTTTGCACTGAAAGAATTTTTAATGCTGTGCAAAAGTGCCAACACTGCCAAGCACCATTCAAACGTTACACTGCTTAAGAAATCCGTAAGAAAAGGAAAAACATCCTTGAAAATTCTATTTCTGTTGTAGACACCTCTTCCAGGATTAACTCCTTTTGTCCTGGTGTTCTCATACCACAAAGAGCTGAAATATCTGTATTTCACAAACTGGATTCTGAGGGATTAAAAGTTTGCCAGTTATGGATAAGGAGCTCCACCTGAGCAGCTTGTGCACATCCAAAGAGCAGCATTCCTTTTGGAATGGATTATTACTGACTTCTAATTTATTTCAGAATTGGAGTCAGCATAAACATCTGTACTTAAACTGAGGCCTGAACATCAGGGAAAACTCAGCAATGCTCATTGGGATAAAACCCAATAAAATATAAAATGCAACTTGATTTTATAAATGAAATAATTTGTGTAGCAGAAAAAAATGTCAAGTAATTTCCTGGTATAAAACCAAACTTACCTTTAGTATCAAATGCCTAGTTTTTTTATATTCCAATTTTTTTATAAAATTACTGACATAAAGTCAAGAAAAGCCAGAAGCTGTTATGGACACAGCCTGAGGATCACCAGGCTGTGGGATGAATTTTGTTGTCACTGTTTCCCTGCCCATTTCTGCTTTTTCTCCTCCCTCTCACCAAAGATCATTGCTGTCCTCATGAACACTTTTGATCACAAATCTGGAAAGGGGTCTAGGAAAGTCCTCTGACACTTCATTTCCAGCCCAAAAATTCCAGATATACACAGAAAATAAGGATTTAAAGCATTTTCATACACCATCACTATCCACACTAAATGTGCAGAATCTGGGACAAGTAAATAGCAATAAAGTGATGGGCAGCAGAGTTAAAGGAAAATCCTAAAAGTCCTAAAAGTCAAGCTAAAAATTTCCTCTAAGCTGAATTTTCTTAGCCCAGTTATTAAACAAATTACTCAAAAAAACTGAAAATCTTTATTTTGTTTCATTTAAGGAGTAAAAATGCACTTTTCTTCTTTTTCATATACTAATTCAAAAATACTAAGAATTAATAGTTAAAAAATAATTTCCAAAGCAAAAATAATGGTATTTTTATAAATAAATGTTATATATATATGTAAATATTTTATTCAACTTTTATACAACAGGTGGTATCCCAACCTCTCAATGGTATTTCTTAGGAGATGACAGCACAGTTTAATAAACTGATTTAGTTAAACATCCATGCAATTCAGTTTTTGCAGATTCCTAACAGACTCTACTACTCCATATTCTTTCACCAATTACCACTTGAGCATAAAACAGAATTAGGTGAGAAATTAAATTTGTAGTAAACCAAAAGCTTTTAAAAGTATTTTTAAAGCTATTAATTTAAAATATACACTTCATATTAAAATCTTATACTTGCAGTTTGGTATTTTTTCCCCTTTTCCACATTACTTATTTTGTCAATAGTGAATTCATGTGGAAAGGAAGATTTATTGTACTGGAAAATAAATAAAATTAATACTGAACAGAGTCTTGTGTGCAGCCACGAGTTTTCTTTGTACCTAAAATGAAACATTGTAAGAACAGAAGTAACTGTAACAGCAAACTCAGGGTTTAACTTTTGGTATACAAAGTCCAACAAACTCAAGAAAATATGAATAAAAATATGAATAAAAATGTGAATAAAAATGTGAATAAACATCAGCTGCCAGCAGGTTCAGTGAGCACCAACAAGGTGTTTACTCTCATTACTGTGTTAAAAATAGGCTGGAAACTGTTGTAAAATAGTCGATAATTGTTAAGCATGTACTGATAGCTTGTTGTTATATTGTAAAAGGGGTTTAAAGGGGAATTATAAGAAATTCTGTGCTCAAGGTACCATAACACAGCTCAGCAAAGTGAACTGCAATGCCAACCAAGCCACAAAATCCTTCTCAAAACCACCTGAGCCTTTGATTGGAACCCACAGAAACAATTACCAACTTTGTGCAAAAAGTTACAACCAAAAAGTCTGAATAGAATGATTGTGAATTTATCACAATGTGAAAAAGTAGAATTTTCAAGTTTTTAGAACAGAAGTTCAAGAAGCAATAGAGAAGAATCTAAGTGTGTCTTGTCTTTCTCCTTTTTCTTGTCCTCCATTTTCTGCTGTAAGAGTGGCACTTTTAGATTAGCTTAGAGACAAACAGAAGTGATAGGTATTAGAAAATTATTGTAAATAAATACATGTCGTTTTTAGTATAAAAAGATAACCCTGCCCCATCAAACACAAGTATTTTCATCCAAACTCAACAGCAGCATAAGCTAACCTATTAAATATCTGGATATTAATAATAACATTTACCACAGTGAACTTCAACCATTCACTGACAGAACAATAAAGGTTCTATCCCAAAAGTGAAGCACACACACCAGAAACCTGAATTTTCAAACAAACACTGCCAAGTCATGTTGATTTTAAACTACTACTTGCTGCTCTATGTCATGAGTACAAAAATACTTCACACTTACTCAAGGCATTAAAGCATCTGAGAAACCAATCTGGCCTCTATTAAAGGCACAATGATGGCCCCATTAAATCAGTTTTAAAGTCAGTCAACAACTGCTTTAGTACTTTGAAAAAGTCCCTCAGCAGCCCCATCAAAAACATGTAACAAGTGTTTTCATCCAACCTCTCCTCCAAACTCAACAGCAGCATAAGCTATCCTGTTAAATATCTGGATATTATTAATAACATTTACCACTGTGAACTTCAATCATTCACTGACAGCCCTAAGGAAAGAACAATCAAGGTTCTATTCCAACTGAATTTTCAAATTCTAATTTTCAAACCTGAATTTTTTAAATTCATTCTCAGAAAACACTGCCAAGTCATATTGATTTTAAACTACTACTTGCTGCTCTATGTCATTATTACAAAAATACTTCACACTTACTCAAGGCATTAAAGCATCTGGGAAACCAAGAAAAGAAAGATCTACTGCATTGTCTTATCTTAGAGCCACAGAAAAATTTATTTTTCTGAAAGGCTCTGTTTTAGGCAACAAATTATATTTTATTCATGTAAGAATATACAAGGCATTTGTGTTTAAGGAAAAACCATGGTCTCTAGAACAAAATCCATAAAGCAAAAAGTATTTTGATATTATTTCTGAATCTAGGCTTCAGAATTTTAAATATTCCCTTAGAAAACCTCTAAGTTGTTAGGAATAAAGTCTGCAAACAAAAGCAAGTAATTTTATTCAAAACCAGCATTGCAGATCATCCCTTTCCAACTCAATCAGCCTAGTCAGCATTCCTAGGTTTTACTAAGGAGACTATCATCTGGTATTATAAGCCATATTTATAATTTCTGTATTTTTATAAGCCATATTTATAATTTCTGTATGTGGAGGTTTTTTAAATCCCAGAATCCAAAAGCATTTTGAAAGAGAACGCTGCTTCCAATGGAGAGGAAGGAAAAAGCAGGCATGAGAGTATCAATCCTATTTTGGAAGCTGAAAATGGGCCATGCATTACATCACTGCTCCAGCAAAAACACGTTCATTAGAGCACCAGGAGCAACTTGAAAGTGTCCCCAGCCTGTTTTCCCAAAGCCCAGGGTTCAGCCTGGGATACTGCACAGCTCTGGGCTTTGTTTTCCTTTCTAGCTGCAGCACATGACCATTTGTTAAACATCAGGACATCTCCATGTTTTCAATTCAATGCTGAAATACTCTCACTCATGAATTTTCCATGCTTTAGGTGAAATAAAGCTTGCCAATTTAAAAACAAAGTTCGTGTGAACTCAAAAAAGTTGAATATTTTATGATAGGGCATCTTGTTTCTATTGACAGGCATTAAATGCAAAGATTTTTCAGTTACTCAAGGCTGCCTGAATAATAATAGAGGAAAAATGGTCAGAAAATGATTTTCTGAACACTAAAATCTATTATCTATGGTCCAGTAAGAAAAAAGGCTCTGCTTACTGCCACAAACCCAAATAAACTGCTACACCTCAGGTAACCACGATAATAAGCCAACAAATCACCAACACAACACAAACCTCAAGTTTATTAAT